ATGATCGTGTGAGCCAGTGGACTCATAAGTAAAAATGAGGCTAACAGCCTAGATTGAATCTGGACCGATCTGACGATCACAAATGTCCGGTAGTGTTTGAATTTAAATTTTTTTTATACAAATCCAAATCACTTGAAATTTTAAGCGCATATTCTTCTCATCAAGCCGCACCTAATAAAAATATAAAAAATAATTCATAAAATAAAAATTAACTAAAATACCCCTGATATATATATATATCCTTTAAAATATAAAATTCGATATTAGAATGAATTTTGAATGATGTTTTTACTATGATTTTTCTTTTTTAACAAAAGTTAATATTATATATAAAATCATCACTAAAATATAAAAAGTACATTTCTCCTCTTCATAAGGGCACATTAAGAGTTTTTTACTAAAAGACAAAAGTATTGTACCGAAAACATTTTGAGACTAATTTCTGAAATACCATTGTACCTTTAGTGAATGCTCAAATTTACCCTTGTTGAGTTATTTAAAAAATAAATTTTTAGACAAAAATTAGCAATATTTTCATAAATATATCCATTACGACCCATTTTAACAGTAACATTTGTTATACATAAGGATCACAGTTATTAGAGAATTTATGGACTATCCGGGTTGAGCTGCGCTTGGGCCTTTAATTAAGCCTATGGACATGGATTACTGCAGATTATTTCGCCCCTCACCGAAGAAATCAAATGAATGAGTCAGGACCACAGGAATTTGGGCCTCATTTGTATGAAACGAGGCCCAGGGTCCGTATTGTGTCAAAAAAGGTCACTCACAGGAAAGAACAAGGAAAAAGGAGACAGCGCTGTAGTTTTTAATGCTGAGTTTCAGTTCGGGGATGCATAAAAAACATACTTCTCCATGTTCACATTTTCTCCTAGGCTACACAATTCACGTTAAGAGATGCAAAATGCTTTAGTTTTAAGACTTGAGCTCAAGTCCAGAAATGCATCAAAACACTCTTAACTTCCCCATGTTCACATTTTCTCCTAGGCTGTATTTCCCAAAAGAGATCCAGAGCTGCAGGAGAGAGAGAGAGAGAGAGAGAGAGAGAGATAGAGAGACAGAGATGATCAGTTCTTCTCCGAGTTGCTTTCGAGTTCCCGCTTCAGTTGTATTGAGAAATCATCGTTGACATCATCATCGTCCCAGTCATCTTCCCACAGTTGCAAAACTTCATTTCCGTCTTCCTTGTCATCCCACTCTACGTATTTCCAAAAAATGATATATGAGAAAGTTGACCTTAAGTACTCAGAAAGACAAAAATAACAATTGGATGCCAGTTAAAAGTTTGAATCATGCATGTTACATTGTAAAGTTCGTTACATGAACCACCCCACCCACCCCCCCCCCCCCTCGGCCCCCCTTCCCCCTCTCTTATACCCATTTCCCTAGACCTCCTACAGGATACAATAGTAAAGCTGAAATTGAAACAATACACAAGGGACTGCAATGGCTAAGGATTTAAAAGTTCAAAAAGCATGGATAGAAGTAAACTCTTAAGCGATTAGTTGTTCAATGCAAAAACTTAAAAGAAAAACTAGAAGTCTCAATTAAAAGAGAAGAAAAGTCAAAAAAAAAACTTCAGGTATCTCAAATATACACATAAGAATAACTAAACATTCTGAACAAATGCAAAACAATGACGAACCACATTAACAAGTACACATTAAAAACAGTAACCCCTCAGGTAGCTAACAAGAAATAGGTGGAAAAAAAGAGTCCAAACTTTCATAAGAAATTGCAAGTTTGAAGAACTATATGGGAAAGTGAACATGCCAGCCCATGAGTTTTCTCTAATGAAATCGCTATCCACTTCAATCTGCGATGCATGCTCATGAAACATTATCTTGGAAACAAATTAGGATGAGCTCATCTTATAGATCTGAGTTGGTGAAGCAGATGCCCAAATTCTCAGGGAATACCTGAAACTGCTAATTTCACTATAGAGGAGATCATTCTATACTCGGCATAGCTATATTGGGAGAAGAAGAGGGAGTGAGTCGGGGGATCGTCCATTCCCCTCAAGTTACCCTACCTTGGGAGCACATGGGATCACTTGTCTGATACATACCATGAGTACATACATTATATATTCTCTATATTATAGATGCACCTGGAAACTAAAATTAATCCTTGAAGAACCAGTCTTTTGATGGTGTTCACGGCGCCTTGAGATCAATCTCCTATCAATATAGGGGGCATATAATCAACATGTATAGATACACGCATGGTCCTATAGTATAGCGAGTTAGTGAATTGACAGTTTGTCTAATCATATATCAGTTAGTAGGATAAAAAGAATATCTAATCATATATCTAATGACTATGGATCACAATTCCAAATTCGTGGACACTCCATATGTCATGGTTCTTGCCTTAACAGTTGCTCATTATGTACGGGATCAGCACCCAGAGTTGGTCATGGAGCTCGATTCATCCTAGGGTGAAATTTAATGCCAGATCTATGGGATTGTGAGCACCCTCTTCTTATTGATATATATTTTCTAATCTGTCATAATTATTCATTTATTTCAACAATCTCTCGATAAAGTTCGCCGATCTCTTTTCAAATTTCACGGATCTCCAATTGAATATCTTCCACAACTTTATTTATGTCCTGATTCAGAACATTCATTATATCCTTGATCATAGGAGTGGGTTTTTGTGGTATTGTGATGGATAGATCTTTTGAAGCTCTTATAGCACTTGATGTAAGGAGGAGGGACAAGGAAAAATGAAATAAACTTTAAAACTATAAATATAAAAGAAGGATGAGAGAATATACCTCCTCTTGGGGTCTACGGAGGAGTCCACCCCATAAAACTTCTTTCCATGAGACCGTAGAAGTAAATTATGCTTCTTCTCTATATTTTTCTTTTCCAATAGTTACATATTTATAAATTAAAAAAATTGTTCCTTAAGAAACCCCAATCCCAATTAAATCCAAATGCTTCATCTATTTAAAATTAAATTTCCAACTCTACCAATCAATTCTCTACAAGTAAAAAAGACACAAGTAACCTAACTTAAATAAATGATGAGCTTGTAGTAGCCCCTACGAAGTGTCCAATAGTAGTGCCACTTACTCAGAATAGTAGGTTACGAAGTGTCCAATAGAGCCTATTCTGAGTGTCCAATAAATGATAACTTAAATAGTAGCCCCTACGAAGTGTCCAATAGAGCATGGAAAAATGATGAGCTTGTTCTATCGTGGCTTCTTTCCCAGGATGAGTGCTCAACCAGGCTTCAAGTAACCCTGTTTAGAGCTTAGCAGTAATGTATCTCGACAGGTTAACTCATGCTCCATGCGTCAGTATGATGCAGTGCCTCACTCTTGTCCACTGAACACAAAATAGATCAAAGGACTGTTGATCAACTTAGTTCATCTTTTGTGCCTCTTGGTTTATGTGCATGTATAGATGGACCCCGGGGTGTACTGGTTGATCCATCACTATCTTTTGCATACTTGTTGATCGTCAGCACCCAGAGTTGGTCATGGAGCTCGATTCATCCTAGGGTGAAATTTAATGCCAGATCTATGGGATTGTGAGCACCCTCTTCTTATTGATATATATTTTCTAATCTGTCATAATTATTCATTTATTTCAACAATCTCTCGATAAAGTTCGCCGATCTCTTTTCAAATTTCACGGATCTCCAATTGAATATCTTCCACAACTTTATTTATGTCCTGATTCAGAACATTCATTATATCCTTGATCATAGGAGTGGGTTTTTGTGGTATTGTGATGGATAGATCTTTTGAAGCTCTTATAGCACTTGATGTAAGGAGGAGGGACAAGGAAAAATGAAATAAACTTTAAAACTATAAATATAAAAGAAGGATGAGAGAATATACCTCCTCTTGGGGTCTACGGAGGAGTCCACCCCATAAAACTTCTTTCCATGAGACCGTAGAAGTAAATTATGCTTCTTCTCTATATTTTTCTTTTCCAATAGTTACATATTTATAAATTAAAAAAATTGTTCCTTAAGAAACCCCAATCCCAATTAAATCCAAATGCTTCATCTATTTAAAATTAAATTTCCAACTCTACCAATCAATTCTCTACAAGTAAAAAAGACACAAGTAACCTAACTTAAATAAATGATGAGCTTGTAGTAGCCCCTACGAAGTGTCCAATAGTAGTGCTCTATTGGACACTCAGAATAGGCTCTATTGGACACTTCGTAACCTACTATTCTGAGTAAGTGGCTCGACTAATTGCCTCAACAGTCATTGGCATAGGCTACGAGACGGTTAAGCAGTCTCTACACAGTTGCATTGAGCATATCTCTATAGAGGTGATGCAAATTGATGCTATGATACCAATTGATACTGGGAGAAAATAGCACGGGAATAATAACAATAGAAAAAAGAAAGAGTTGAGAGAATATACCCTCTCTCAAAGTCTACAAGGGAATCCAACCCAAAATAATCTATTCACGAGACCAAATTTTATTAACTCATTCACCAATTTACAATGAAGGGAAATATCCCTTAAATAGACTAAAAAAAAAGATAAACACTTTCCTATTTTATCTCTCCCTATTTTCTCTCATCCCTATCTTCTCTCTCTTAAATTCACGTGCGACCCATAGTAATGAGCCTCACATGGTGGCACATGAATTTGTAGGCCGCTGAAAGTTGTAGGCCGCTGAAAGCCACCATAGTAATGAGCCTCACATGTTGTAGGCCGCTAGATCTTTAAATGCTGCCATAGAAAATGTGCGAGTGTCGCACCCAACCTTTCTGCCCAAACACTAAATTGAACAAATCATGATCCGAATCATAGTTACCGGGATCGCCCAAGAGGTGGTCACTCTAGCTCTAGAGGCTCCATTCTGCGCTCCGGGGCAAGAAATCTCGATTCCAAATGCTTTTTGAACTTAGGGATCTCGATCTGCAAATTCGGGATCTAGACCAGTAGTTAATTCCCTCTTATCCAAATCATGGGTCCATGAGTAAGTGGAATCGAGCCTCCACCAACGTGGACTCGAGTTTCTTTTACATTGGTACCAAAGATTACCAGCACATTTTCAAGTCTCATGCACTGACCATGCCCCTCTTCCCCCACCCATCTTCTCTTTAACTCCCTAGTCCATAATCTGTGTGTGTGTGTGTGAGCATATTTCTGTAAAAATTTTGAACTCCGAAATGGCTATCCGTATAGCGATCAATTAGTTGAGAAACAGTCCCAATGACCACAATAACTAGCGCTTGAAGCCTGGCACTTGAATTTGACTTTTAAGTCACAAAAATAAATAGGCATCACATACAAGTTTTTTTTTTTAGCGGAATGACATAATAGGATTCTATGATGAATTTGAATGAGAAAGCGGCCCATAAAAGAATATTGAAGAGAGATGGAGAGAGATTAAAAAAAAAAGGCAGGCCAAGGGCATCACACACAAGTTGTTGCCATATTACATTGTGGAACCGATAGATAAGGGATAGCATCACATAAAAGTTGTTGCCATATTATATTATGGAACCTTATAGATAAGGGAGAGGAGTTGCAAAGCCAAAGATTCACCATATCCTTCCCCAAGTCCTTTTCATTTCACTTAATGGAAGCTCTATAAGCTTTATACAATTGATCTTTGTCACCAATGCCCTTGACCATATCTACCATCACAGAGACCCATGTAGGTTGACCCTTTCATTGCCTTTGGACCCTTTTTCCTCTGAATCTAGAGAGCATTTGACTGGTCGCATGCCCAATTGTATGTAAGTGAAAGACCAAAATGAGGGTCAACAAGGACACCACATTTTCATCAAACACTAGAACTTTTTTCATGCCTAAAGACTGAAATTTGAATCCACAGTTTGGGTTTCCAGTTTCACATATGAAACACATGCCAATGATCAAAACAATAATATTAATAATAATAATAATAATAATAAAATAAATAATAATAAAATAAATAAAAAATACATTATTAAAAATAGGATTCTTTGTATTTAACAATACTTTTCTTTCAGAAAAAATATAGTCATCTCGTTCAACGAACTTCTTTCCAAAGCTAGAGTATCCCAGTTAAGTACTCTTGGGGAGCCTCGATGCTGAATTGGACGGACCTCTATCCTATATACTTATCATTCGATCCTAGACAATTTTGGATCGTGATCCCTTCATATTGGGATCATGATGATCCGTTTAACTCACAGTGTGCAGATCTCAATCCCTATCCCACAGA